ACCAAGAGTTTTTCACTTCTCTTCTCAAAGAACCATCATTGTTAGTTAAGTACTTCATTAAGCCTCTTTAAGGGCTATAAAACCTGAAGAGTATTACACGGATTACTGTGGCTGTTGGTCAGACCAATAGTTCAGTGACTGTCTATACTTACTGCCATGAAACTGACAATATTCTACAAGACAAAACTAAGTAAAACCGTAAGATACTCCTTACCGTTAGAATGAACTAAGATTATGTTGGTCATCATCTATCCTCTCAACTTCTGCTTAGAACGCAGCCCATAGCATTTGCCACCAAAATACACAGTCACTGCACTTTACAGTATAGCCAATGAAGTACTTTGGGATGTCCTCCTGATTTGAAAAGCGCTATATCAGATGCAAGAATTATTATTATTATTTCAAACAACTGGATTCCAAACCATAGAATAATGAAAATGATAACTCATTTTGGAGCCTTCTCTACAAAATGCTTTTAATGTGCGTTAGGCAAGTTTTATAAATGCAATGAAATCTTCTGTAACTTGTCACATCCCTTATTGTTTCAAGTGTAGGATGCTGGTTCTAACACCAGGCTGGATTAAATTCACTTGCTCTGGTGTTCTCGGAGCAGTTTCTACCCTCTGAAAGTGTGCTGGGGGCAGTAAGGAACATAATTAAGTAATAGTTCTCTGACATTGCACAATTCTTCTCAATCCATTTCTTACGGGTGCAGCTTTGACTACATATAACAGGCAGTAAGAATCAATTTGTTGGCAACTCTACAGCCAGACAGGTAAATAATAGTGGGGAAACAAAATTGGCACAACTGTCTGTTTACACTTACCTGTCTCTTGAGAGAAGAAATCTATGGCTGATGAATTGCAATTTACCACCTTAGTGTTACACTAAAGCACATCTACCAATGTTACTATTTTTAAAATCCAGTTTCATTCCAAATTAAACACAAAAGAGAGAGAAGAGGGGAATGGGAGGGTGTGGTAGGGAGAGGGGATCATAAATACTGGCACTGACGAGTTGGGCTAAGTAGCCTATTTGGTCTCTGAACAGTTCTGTGGTTCTATTTTTCCAATCTTAGTTTCCGGTGTTTGATCTGATTTCGTTGAAGAAAATAAAGCAGTCAGGTGCATTATATCTTGCACAGGACTAATAAGCAACGTAGATAATTACTGATTTATATGCAGTATTATAATTATTATATACAGTATTTTTAATACAAATCTGAGAGAAGTTATGAGAATTAAACGAAATGCAGTGACATTTCACCTCTGCATTCCGAAAATATGGAGTAAATAAGTAACCAGTTAAACATAGATGCTGTATGTATGATTTGAAATGTGTATGTGTAAAAACTGTAGGGTCCAGGTCATCACTTTAATAAGATGCGCTATTAAAAATGCGCTATTGGGATCACAAATGCTTTAGCTTCTGACAACCGGCACTTGTGTTCTCTGGACAGAGATGTCTGGGATGTCCTCCCGACTTGAAAGGCGCTATACAAATGTAATTTTGTTGTTGTTGTCGTCGTCGTCGTTCTACTCCCAAAGAGAGTGAGTGTGTGAGAGAGAAATCCATTTCCAGAACCAAAACTGGCAAACGAAACTACTTTTCTGAGTTCTCGGTGACTGAATCCGGGGACTCAACCTAATGAGACAGGTCCGTCCGTATGTGTCGGACACCCAAGTGACCAAAATACGTCCCTAGGTAACTTAGCCTTGTTGTCTCGGAATCGTAAGGGAGGAGTTTGTTTTTACACTGTACAGATTACTAAGCAATTAATTTTAGAATCATTTAATGTTCACCCTATTTACAGGTTGAGATTTGCATAATTAGAATTAGTTACTGTGGATTCCAAGGGTTGAGGGTAGTACAGTACTTGTTGGGTTGGTAAAATGTTTTAATGGCGCTACTACACAGAGCACTTAAGCTCCATATAAAAGACTATTAAGTACAGTTAATTGCAGGTTTTTTTACTCTCTGAAAGAATGCTACGAGGCAGCAATAACCAAATTTATAACCATTCAGTGATTCGCACTTATGAGAGAAAACTCCTTAGAAGCTGATTCTATTGTTTTTTTTAAAAAAAGGGTCCAAATGCTATTTGGCTCTCTTACGCACTATACAACCTCTTGACCGATACCTTAATTTCTTAAAACGTAGGTGGATATGTCAATAATAAATCTTGCAATTGATATAGCACCTATAACTGTGAAATGTCTCATAAAGTGGTTTCAGGAATTATTGTTAGGCGTAGTAATCGGCAACTGTGAATGCTTTTCACACTAAATGCCTTTCGGTTCTGCGAGCATCAAAAGTAATGGCATACATAATCTCGTCAACTCACGATAAATAATAATAATAATAATAATCCTTGCATTTGATATAGCGCTTTTCACGTCAGGAGGACGTCCCAAAGCGCTTCACAGAATAGACTGTAGAGTGAATTGACTGTATATTTGTGGGCGAACGCGGCAGCCAATTGCGCACAGCAATGTCCCACAAACAGTCGTAGATTGAAAATGACCAATTTATTATTTTTTATTATTTATTATTGTTTTTTGTTTTGGAAGGTCTAAATGGTGCATAAAAGCAAAATTTCTGATTTACAAATTCCGGAAGAGGAGATAGAGCCTATTTCAGACAGTACAAAGGCAGCAGCTCCCCCTGGTGCCTACACATGCCGTGAGCCAAACCAGTCACAATAAACCATTTCAACACACAGATCCTCTCTGCACAATAGTTTTGAAGATTCAAGAATCTTCTGTAGTCAAAAACAGATGTCCCATATTTTTGGTCATTTGTTCCATATTAGCTGGTTAGACAGAGAGGCAAATTGTAAAAAGTAATTCTGCCAATCATTTTTATACATATATGATCCCCCACCCCCCCCCCCCCGACCAGGTTTTATAGAGGTTTCCCCATTCCTTAGACCCTCCTAAAGGAACTCACCTTCAATACCTCGGTCAAGTATCCAGTGTTCATGTGCAGACTTAAGCACCATCAGCTTCCTATTAATTTACAAGAGATCAGCCAAATCCAATCTTTAAGCAGAATCATAACAATCAAGAATACCAAGCGTGCCTTATTGCCCCCTATCTAATCCCTAACAACAATCACATCTAAAATGAGGTAAATTAAGATATTGGAGCAAATGCAACGCTTTCACTTCTTAGGGCATCCAGGCAGCTGTTTAAAGGGCTTCGAGACGTCCTCCTGCCGTTGAAAGGTGCTGTATAAATGTAATTATTTATTATAATTGGACTTTCTTAGCATTTTAACACATACGTGCATTGCAACTAATCTTAAAGCAAACAAGAAAAATTCTAAGCAACGAGCAGAATCTAGGACCATTTGTAGCCTTCATTTCTAGGGTCTGCAACATTGATGACTAAATTCAAGTATCAGGGACTTTTTTTTTAAAAAAAAGAGGCACCATTCGTTTCCCTTTTCTGGAAGAAAGGAAGGTACAGCACTCTGAGGGACAAAGAGGATGGTTGTTCCCAGATGTCTGTGTTTGCCGGTTGAACCAGCTGATATCTTTCCCTGTACTCAGCACTTAACAGTGGTGACACCACTTGAGGCTGCCAACTCAGCAAAGGAAATCCCTGATCTTGAAGCTCTGTGATGCCACATGCTGGTGCTCCGGAGAACATCAGTGTACGGTTTGAAAAGCCACAAACCATTCATTAATCCTTGGGATTTAATTTTGTTTGTTTGGAGAATTGCCATTTCTTTTACAATTTACATTTGCGGTGAACTTTTGCGCTCAGCAAGGTGGGAGAGAGAGTAAAACATGAGATACGCAATAGCCCTGAGCATTCTCAGGTAAAGGCATATTTGAAGCCCAAATTTCACCCGTATTGCAGAGTCCTCGGTGGTTAGACCACTCGCCTCCCAAGCGAGAGGACTTGGGTTCGATTCTGGGAAGGGTAAGTTTGCTTACTCCACATGCCTCTTTATCTAGCAGTAAGTCAGGACCAGGTTATTAAGTCACTTGGCAGATCACTTTTCCGGTGGTAATAATCCCTTCAAACTATAAAAGTCATTTAATCCATAACTATTTGTGTGACACTGCGCGCAATTGGCTGCTGCACTTCACCCACAAAATAGTCAGTTCACTTTACAGTATATTCTGTGAAGCGCTTTGAGACGTCTCGAAGATGTGCTATATCAAATGCAAGGATTATTATATTCTAAATAGTAGTGTTCTAGGACAGTTTCTCCCAATATCCTGCCCAACAACGACCCCTCCCCTCATAAAACTGGTCATTCACTTCATAACTGTTTGTGAACATTGCTGTGTGCAAATTGCCTGCAGTATTTCACCTACAAAATAGTTACTTCACTTTATAATACGGTTGTACTTCGAGATGTCTTCCTGACGTGATAGCTTCTGAATCAGATGCATCTTATTGTGAGTAAGCAGCGAGTCCAGTGATGCTACCCCTGTGATCAGTGCACGAATAAATAATACCTTAAAAAAAAAGGCTGACGATCCCAAAAAAGCGATTGAAACGTCCGTTTTCTTTCCCCTTTCCACCACTGAAGATGTTGTCTTTGACCATGACGGAATGTGGTTCTTGTGTGCAAACCAGGATTTTTGCTAAATGACTCCCCTTTTCTCCCAAAGGGAGCATATTGTTGTAGAAGTTTCTTAAGTGTTATTATCCCGCTGTTGCATCATCTACTTGGCCATTCTTCAAGACAAGCCTAGAGAGTGAACATCAGCACGTAATTTGTCCTTGGAGAGCATCATAGCCAAACTCAGTTCTATTATCTCTTGACGTCCACAATTAAAGGGGTGCCTTACAACAGCAATCTGGATCAGGAATCCTGACTAATTATTTCCCCCCCCCCTCCTCCCTAGGCCAGCAATGCAAAGTCTAATTGTTTCAGGCAAGGGGGGGGGGGGAGAGGGGGATTATTAACTTATATTAGGAACCAAAAGTAACATGAGTTTGATTTCAGACACACACCGAGACTTTCAAAGATTAAGCAGAGGCAGTAAAATTCAATTTAATCCTCTATCACTCAAAATATCCTAAAACAATCACTGTGCATTCCCCTCAAACAGCCACATATTGCTGCCAGCAGTCATGTACATTTTCAGATTGTTCTTTTTACAGTGTAGCAGCTTGAACTTTAGATCACCATGAAGTACAGCTGGATTCAAACCCAGATCCTAAAGATAAAAAGAAAGGTTGCTCTAAACCACTGCTCCACCTCGTCTCATGGGCATAAGGCAGCCTTAAATATTTTAAATATGTCACAGCCGCCACCAATATACTCCCACATACATAGAAAGGGACCAGTCAGAAAAATCCAAATGCATACTTTTAGATGCCCTCATTTCCATTATAAATATTCTTGAGAACTCAGTGCAATCGCAATGAGAAAATATGCACTGAACAGTACAATACACTGTGGAACTCTGCACCGAAATGAGTTACACAGGAAAGCTTTAAGAAGTTAAAGGGAACTTTTTCTTGCATTTTATATGCCTGTACATTTCATATTCAATCATAAATCTACTGTGCAATTTCTTACATTTTACCTCAAATACAACCCATGTATTTACCCCACAATGCACAATTTTAATATCTTATAATCAGGCAACAGATTGATACAGTAAAAGGCTTCTAATAGAATACCATTTAGCTTATGTTAAATTCTTTAATTTCAGAGACTTGTTATATTGGTACACCTATTATCTTAAACATTTTTCAACAAAATATGCTTTTCATGGAATCGATGGTTCTTTTTTAAGAGTTGTGGTGATATCCGCTGCTTTAAAATGTGGCTTTGTACAAACATATGAATGTCAAAATCCTGGACACACCAAAGTTATACATGTAGCTTGCATCCACATTACAGCAAACTAAAGTTAGTGGTCCAAAATACATCAGCCATGTTCAGCATTTACTAGAGACAGCACAAGGGTAGCTCTGAGAGCAAGATAAATCCCATTGGCATGTGGAGCCCAGAAAACAATACTGTCTGATAGCTCCAACCTTTGTGCTTGGACTCTAATAAATAGCCCTGAGCTTTAATACTATTGCAAAAGGACAAGAATTTAAAGGCCAAACCTGCAGCAAGTGTCTGTGTGATGTGCATATTCACAGCTTTAGCTAAATGTGCCACACTGGTCTCAACAGTACTAATTTCAATAGATAATTCCTGACAACAAAGATTTGACTGTGTAGACAGTGGTTACACACAAGATTATTTGTGTTATCGTACAACTTTCATGTCCAACAAAAACGATAATTAGTATTGGCTTACATTTACAGTATTAAGATTAATTGTTTTTTTAATGGGAATTATTCTTTTTCCAGTACTTTGAAGTCTACAAGATGCATCTAAAAAATTACTACAGTGGAGAATGAAGTAAGCTCGAATTCAAAGAGGGATATTCCAGATTAATTGCTGTAACATTGTCCTTCAGGGGGTTGAGCAAGTTTTATATTATCTTTAGTCATCATTTGACGCCGAAGCTCCTGCAGAATAATTTTGATGCTATATGAATGCTGCCATTTTGCTAGAACTGGTATCATTTTTGAATCCACCTGTAGCAGATAAACAAAAATATACAACAATTAATAACTACCAGTTATTTACTACAGTTCACATTCTACAGATCACATTACTGCAATATGCCCACACACAAAGTGTGATACATTTGTTTGGATAGATTACAAAATCTTATCTGTATAAATATAAATACAAATGACTCTACAGGGCACTGAAATTGACTGGATCAGGTCACACAATGTTTTCTTAATGCCTTTTCAAAAAATAAAAAATAAAATTGCCTTTACAAAATAAAAACAATCAACACTGTAATTATGGCCATAACAATTGTGACCTAGGATCCAAAGACCATTTTTTGTAACAATTATCCAGATGTTTTTCAAAGGACCAGAAACAAGATGTGGAATAAAATTCTCATTTGCTCAGGCAAATATGCTATAAAACACTATGTGACACCAATGATGGAAGCCACCTACCAAGCAACTCCTAAAACACAAAATTCAAATGAAACAACTTAAAATGACCAGCACATTGAGATATGGTAGCACTCAAAGGTTAGCAAAGCCAAAGTTCCTCTGTTTTTATGAGGAAATACAAACTGAAATGTTTTATTATTACCATAATTACCTTCAGTTAGCATACGCTACTTTGAAGGCTAGGTTGTTCAAACTATGGAGCTCTCCATGGATCATTCTCCAAGTTAGGTGAGTAGAAGGCATATTTGTAACTTGGCTGTTGGGATACTTACCATTTGCTTCTTGTGCTTCTAAATATAATGCAGTGCACTTCACTTAATTGCATATCAGATAATTACATAATTCACTTAATTACAGGAAAGAGAGCCAGTCAATTTCATTTGCACCTATTTAATTAGTTTGGATAACTGCATAGTACAAAACATAGTACTTTTCTGAACAATGCACAAATTATTCCACATATTAGGATTGATCTAGATTCATGCCTGTGATTAATCTCACAGCAATGTTGTCAAAAAGAGTCCAAATTCACCACGAGGAGGAAAACTCCAAGACCAAGAAGACAAGGTCACCCTGTGCTGGTCTCACAAACCTGATTGCACGCACACAGGTATCTAGCAAAGAGATTCATCAAATTGATAATTGTAAAATACACTTAAACCCCAGCCGTTTGAACAAATGGTGGTGGGGATTAGAGGGGAAAGAGATCCAGTCCAGCGAGCCAGAATTTTCATACAGAACATTTTACAACAGTAAATAAACTTACCACTCCATTGGAACTATGTACTCCATTCATATTTATTTTTGTTAGAAACCTAACAGTTGGAGCTGATTCTGGATATTTAGGACCACAGTCTATTTTAAGGCTGTACATTCGATTTTCGTAATTTGTCTGTAAAAGAAAAGTAATCTGCCTCAGTTTTACTATTTATACGAATTAAATAAGAGTACATTGAAAATAAATATTTTTGATTTTCATGTAGCCAATTGTGAACTTCACAAAAAATCCAGTTAAAACGTTTGTATATAAAAGAGTTAAACTGTATTTTATTTGACCACTCAACAAAAATACTGCCAAAAATGAAAACATACATACAAAGCAATATTTAAAGTGTTTTCACCAATAATACATAACCAAGGTTTCATCAACTCTTAGGACACTCCTGAAAAGACAACATGTTTTAGTCGCGACTCTACTGCTCAGGCAGTTACTTTCCAGATCCAAAATGGCAAATCTAGCTCTCACAAGCTTCAATGGTAACTACATTATCATTCATGTCCCGAAACAACTTGCATGGTTTGGATACTCTCTTTAGGGAATAATCCCTTCTTTTTTCAATTTTTATAATGAAGAATATGTTTGAAGTGTTTGAACTAGGCACAGTATAGACTTAGAACAATGTTCATTTACTACTATAAAGTGGTATAAACTTATATTATCAGCTGAGACTTTGCTTCTTTTTCAAAAGATCATGCCTCCCCGCACATAATACCAACGGTTGTTTTGCTAAACCGTACCCATTCTTTCAACGCTGCTTCAAATTTTGCATTTCCATGAAAGCCACCTCTAATTGCAGGCATATTACATTATTCTGAACCAAATCCCACATTAACATAACTGCAATAATTTAAGTTTTATACTAGACTTACTCTTGCAGGTCCAATAATCATCCCGTTCCACCTTGTGAGTGACATATCATCATCATCTTCAAGACCCCAACTTACTGTACCATCACCAACTCCCTTCTGTCCTTCTTCAAGCTCTTCCAAAAGCCGGAAATTGCGTGGAACTTTTATACCTAGAACAAGTGGAAACAAAGCATTTAACTACAATTAATATTTAGCAATTGTATATATATATAAAATGGCATGAAAAATTGTTATAGAATTTCTGTGGCTGCAGAAGACAGGGAAGGCGGATAAGTAGCAGATGCAGTTCAATGCTGAAAAATTTGAACTCGTAAATGTTGTTCATAAGAATAGTGGGAGAAAGTACACCTCAAATGGCAAGATTTTAAATGGAGTAAGGATCTTGGGTGTATAATACAGTCCTACCCACTTACCTATTAAGAGATCTATTAAGAGCGAGCAGGTCAATGAGATATTGTTAGCTTCCATGAAGGAAAAATAGCAGGTAATTGGTCGAATATGCTGTTCCAGCTCCATACAATTCTATGATTCCATATTCTGAACTTCAACCACTTCTAACAGTTAATTTGAAGGATATCAAATAAATCTCCACAGGACTAAATTATGCCAAATTACTAAACGTCCAGCAAATAACATCACCCATATTGAACGCCAAATTCAGTATGGTGTTTCTAAGCATCATTTGTTAGACGATTGTATGTCAGATTTTGTTGCCTACCCATTGCTTCTGCCAATGGCTGGGACCTGACTATCTCTGAACACATGCGTATTCAGGTAACAATGTCTGGGAGAGCAGCACATGTGAATGCATTATTGTATTTTGTGCAGACGTTTCTGAATTGACCAATACTGACGTGTATCTGCAGCAGCTTGTGTGTTCCAGGCATAAACATGGGAGGTCCATCTTCCAAACTATAAACTTCTACTCATTGCCATAATTTTGGGTAAAGAGTGAGACACCAGACAGCTCTGGTGTTAGAGTGGATTCTAGTATGGGTAGGGCACATTCATTGGTATTTTCGCACATTTTTAAGCTGTCTTATCTATGCATGATTTTCTAAATTCAACTTGAAAATACAACTTTTTAAAGTGTGCAAATGCTCCGAATCAGCAATAATATGAAGACTGAGGTCTTTGTTACTGCAACATTCCTAGAATGCAGAGCTATATGATCTATTGAAGGGACAATAAGATCAGAAAACACAGTTTGGATACGATGAAAATATTACAAACCTGAATACTTTTTAAAAATCTTGCATCATTAAACTTAAGAGAAATTTGAATCTTTTAGCAAAGTTTAATGACTCTAATGGTGTTAATGTAACTAATATAATGACAAAAATAATTAAGAATGCCACTATCACTTTGTTCAAACGAAAGAACTAATCAGTAAATTATAACCCAGAAATGCAAATAGATTTTCTGACTTTTATCGTTCAATCAGAAGAAAACAGATGCAAAAACGTGCAATATAAAATTTGAACTAATGTTAACTTAAACTCCTCCCAAAAGCTGAGTAACTATAGTAACCAGTTAATTAAATCACTATGAAAACAGAAACTTGATGTCAAATCAAGCTTTTTACATTTTAGTCAGGCAGAATAAGATTCAGTGCTGCTTTGCTACGAATACACTCAAATGGAGACTGAATCTGCTGGTTAAATTGTTCATGGTTGTGCCAGATGGAGCATGCAAACAAGTAAATTCCATTTATAGCAATGCTGTTACAACCATCTGTGCCAAGTGCGTGGAGTTGACAAATGCACAAAAATCTCAAGTCAAACTATATTAAACCCAGAAAAACTTGCTGTAGCCACACCAAGCAAAGCTGCACCAGCGTTTCCTTTATATTTAACAGAAAGAACCATTAAGAATATGTCTTAATATGCCCCCCTTAGATCTCGCCCAATTAATTACAACATGCTGTAATATGAAGCGGCAGGAGGCCAACTTCCTCCCCTAATCTCCAATATAGCAAGCTTTCAATCTCACACATGCTGTGATCTGGAAACACAAAGTTTAGATGTATCTTTCTCCACGGCTAAGAGAAGAAACAAAACAGAGGCAAACCACCCAGGTATCACCTGCACTGTGATTCCACAGCAGAAATAACAGTGGAACGTTGTCATTGGTTTTCTTGGGAATACAGGGCACGGGGAAAGGGATAGAGAAAGGAATGAGGTAAAGTCTTTCTGGCTTGGCAACGGAGAAGAGACAGACAACAGGTGCTTCATTCTTTATCACAATACCAAACACGAGGGACGATAATTTGTTTCAAGGAAAGGTTAGCACTAATTATAATTTTTTCATGAAAACGGACAATTCGTCATATTGCTATCTCCACTTTCCAATGCATTGCTCTCACTATTGTCACTCCATATCCTACCCTGATGTTGCATCTTGCTACGTTTCTGAACCATTTGGTTAAAGCAACTTGCAGACAAATTCACTTAATCTATAAACCCATACCGCGTATGAATCTAAAGGATTACAAACACTATAACAGCAAAATGTCTTACCAGTTTCCCCCCATAATTACTTCCCTAATCCCCATGGTGGTAACATGTGTTGGGAGGGGGAATGAAAAATAAAAACCCTGCAGGTTTTTAGTATTCTGTTTAGATTAGTTGGAAGCTGTCTTATTTTTTTAAAAAACAAATTTCCAAGGCTCAGTCTGCTACCATATAGAGGTATATATGTAGAGGGAGAGCTTTCAGCCACTTTGCCCCCAACCTCTGCGATTCCATCCCCCAGTCACTCCGCCTCACCCCCTCCTCAGCCTCCTTCAAGTCCTGCCTCAAGACCCTCCTCTTTGACCATGCCATCGGCCACACACCCCCCCGACCCCAGCTCAGGTCTGAAATGCTGTACTCTGTCCAGTGCCTTGGGACGTCCTCCCGACGTGGAAGGCGCTATACAAATGTAATCTTGTTATATGAATGTGAAAGTATGAGTTGCACTATGAAACTTTCAACCATTCTGTGCACAAAGTTCAACCAACTTTGCACTGACCAAAAACTCTATTCAAGTCTAGGTATGGTACAAAAATAGTGAAATGTGTTATTTTTGTTAAATTACCAATAAAAAACAATTATGTATTCTCAGAGAATCAAGGACTTTGCCAACATTTCAATAGAAAGTTCTTTTTATTTCTCTTTAGTCAACTCCCCATCAATAAGGGAAATACCAATGATATTCATGTATGAAGGGCATTGGAATAGACTTCCTTTGTTTTTCAATTCCTATGTCAGATTTGAATTCGATTCTAAGAAAGCTGAAATGTGCATAAGCTTCTTTCACTAATGACACATACCACTTTACTCTCTATTGTATTCCAAGGAGGAAATGGTGAATTGCACACTTTGTCAATGGGTTCACCTTCAATCTGGCATGTGGATGCAGAAACTGAAGACAAATTGATCCTTTTAAGGACCATTTCCCCTCGTTTGGAATGGTGACAATCCTGTGGAATATATTTTATAAGCATATTTATAAACGTAGAATGTTTACAGGGGTTAAGAAATTAGACTGAGTTTGAACTATACATTTAGTTCCAACTACCCTTTTCATCTTGGGTAGGGCTGCAACCAATCTTACTGAATTTGTGCAATCAGCTCTCCTTTAAGGATAAACAATAAATAAAGCACGCAGCAGAATATTAAACATCTACATTTTATACAAATACAGGTGGCACAGAGGATAGAGCAATGAGTTATTCACCTCTTGTGCGTATAATGTTGCCCAACTGGCGCATTATAGTACGCATGAGATCATACCTGCAACCCAAGGAGCAATAATTTACCAACTGGAATGTATTTTTCCTTCATGCCCATGAACTAAACTGTCTAACTAAAAATACACCCAATATAAATTGTGTAAAATCTCACTAGCGCGTTCTGGAGCAAAAAAAAAAGCTCATGTATACAAATGCGTCGTTAAATAGATTTTTTTAAGGATAGTTTATGGAGTCTGATTAATATCGTGATGTACCAAACAAGAAAAAAAATTAAAGCTGTCTTTCCAACTGTAAAGGAAACAAATTTAACCAGTTTCGTTATGAATTCTGTAAACTGAAACAATTTTTCAGGTTGTATATATAAAGCAATGGTTAAGTCTCATTAATGTGCATATTTTTGCGACTTAAATCAAAGTTCATCCAGTCCTATTACCTGTGAGACAGCCCATTGTTTCCTTTTCCCCTACTTTTAAATTCCATTATCATACATCATTCCAGAGCAGCTGATGGGGTATGAATATTTCCCTCCCACTGTTGGGCGGGTTCTGTAATAACATCCATATAATAACATCAACAGAATGTTGGACATTCAGTTTACACCTGTGCTTTGAGAACTTTTATTCGGCTTGTTGGACAGAAATACTTTTTTTTTTGCATATTTCAGGCATAGAATGTAAACTAGAAAACTAGATAAAATACCCAAATCCCTAAGCTGGAATGCCACTTCTGCAGATATTAGTTTTCAGTACACAGCACAAGTGCATCATTAGCGTAGCTAACTTCATTTTATACGCCAGCAGTGGTGGAAGACTACAATGTTCTATTTAATTAGCATGTAATTTAGATTTGATAATGCATCTTGGAGTATGATATTCTACAACATAAGATAAATTAGCAGATTAAAATATTAGTCAGGTGTTGAAATTAAGGGGACCATACAAACTGAATTCAGTCTGAACGTTGCACCCTCTGCTGGCCATCTAAATTTAACTACAAGCTCAGCTCTCATAACTGGGGTCTGGAAAATATATGTAATGCTTTCGACAAACATTTCTGGCTCTTCTGATCCTGCCAGAACTCCTAACTGAGGATCCCATGGAACTAATTTTAGCTCGTCACAGGACTGACTCAGAGTAGGTTACAAAACTGCAATACAATCAGAAGGGTTCAGAGTGCCTCTTCCACTAAATACATATCTTTTAATTGTCATTTCATTGTTTTGCTATCACTTGTTACCATACTATCACTGCACCTGTTGGTATATACCGTACTGCAAATTACTGTACTCACGAAAGGTGATTTTATTTGCAGTATGTTATTCACCATCTTGTACACACCATAAAACTGCATTTTATACTTATTGAAATACCGAAAAAAATAAAGTTATTTTGGATTTTATTTATTGAAAGTGAA